CTGTCTATGGCAGGGGTGTGGGCTGCGTTACAGTCCCCACCCACTATGAGTCGTGTGGTTGAGTAAATGTTGAGGTGGGTTGTTAGCTGTTGCCAGAAGGAAGTATCTGGTGTTGTGGGTGCGTATATCGATGAGAAGGCGTATTGTATTGTGCCTATTTTTCCCTTTATGGTGACATATCTGCCCTGTGGGTCTTTAGAGCAGGTAATGTCTGTGAGGGGGCTATTTGCTCTCAGGAGGATAGCTACGCCTTTAGTTTTGGTGGCTGGGGAAGGAGCATGAAAGCTTTGTGTGTAGTATCTATTTGTGAGTGGGAATATGCGATGGGTTGTGAAGTGGGTTTCTTGTATGAGGATTACGTCGGCTTGTTGTTTGTGTGCCCAGCGGAGAATGCTGTGTCTTTTGTTGGGGGAGTTAAGTCCTTTGGCGTTGATAGAGATGCAGCGTATGGACGTTGGCATGGTGCCTGTGGCGGTGTGGTGTTCCGTTCGGGTGCGCGGTGGTGGGATAGCTGGGGTTGCGCGTCTGAGTGGCCGCGGACCACGAGGGGGGGGAGGTTGGGTAAGGGGAGTAGGGAAGCGGGAGGTTATTTGGGGGTGAGGGGGGAGGTGTGCTGCTGGGCTTATCCAAGGGCCAGCAGGTATTGGGGCGAAGCGTCCGACCGCTCCGTGGGTTTTCCCTGAGAGTTTGGGTGGATTTGTGTCAGGGGTTGGCGACTGTCCAGTCTGAGTCGTCCTAAGGCAGTTTTCAGTGGGTATCCGAGTTTCTACGCCTGCTATGGGTGGTCATCGTCTTGTTGTTGATGTTTCTGTGGGATATGTTCGTTATGTATTGTGTCGTGTGGTGGTAAGGTCGTACCTTGTGGTCTCGTGAGTCGGTAGTCTGGTTGTCTGGTAGGTCCCCATGCAGTTTAGTGGTGAGGGAGGTTTCGTCATCGTCCGGTCTTGAGTTGTCGGTAGGGCGCTGTTTGCCGTGTGTGACTTCTGTGAGCCTATGTAACTGGGTGTATCCTGTAGCTGAAAACCAAACATCATCAGTTGTACATTTTGTAACATATTAGTTGAACTTCAACCTGAACCTAGTCACATTTATTCCTTCAACTGTGGGGTCTTCTCTTTGGGGGTTCTTGGGCCTTCGTTTAGAGTGTCCCTCTGTGGTGCTTTGAGTGGTTCCCTGGGTAGAGGGCCTACGGGGGGGATAGTAGTTTGTCTTAGTGGAGCTATAGTCCCCCGGCGCCTTCTAGGCCCAACCTGTCTGTTGGTAGGATGTGCGGTGTTCCCATCCCTAAACAGGCCTGTCAGTGTTATCGAGGAGCCCCCTGCATGCGTTGTTCCCCAGGGGGGGCGTGCGCAGCGTTACGCTTGTCCGGGCCTGTTCATTTCCTAGGGTATGCTGTTTGTACAATGTCCCAGTGTGGCCAGTGGGAATGTCATCTGACCTGTGGGCTAGGGGTGGGAGCTTGACTACTCAACCCTGGCGCAGGTGGTTCAGGGGCTCTATGAGGGCCAGGTGTCTTACTGTAGGGTCAGGTGGGTGAGCGCGTGGCTCGGGGGGGCCCCAGTAAGTCTTGGTTATGTTCCTGGATCTTGTCCGTGGTTGGGTGGGCTCCACATTTATTGCCTGGGGCTGGGGGGGTATGTCGGTTGTAACTTAGGTCAGGCCTGTCCCCTTGTTATTAGCCGTGGTAGCTAGGTTTGGGGTGGTCCTTGGGGTTTGCAGTGCGGTGCCATCCCCCGTGTGTAGTAGCTTACACCGAATGGTGTACTAGTACCCGCCGTCTGTATTATGTGCTCTATCATGTCAAGCTAGGAGTGTTAAACAGCTAAGCATAGTACATATATATATATATACATAAATATAAATATAAATATAACATTTAAGTTAAGGAAGTGGTGCGTTAAGTAGATCTTATCTGGAGTTTGGTGTCATCAGTGGTTGTATCGGTAGTAAGTCCAGCATTAGGATGTGGAGAGGTCTGTGGTCGTCGGTACCAGTTGTAGTCGGATCGATGAGTCTGGGGGAGTAGTGGGCTGCTGCATGGGTAGTCAGAGTTCTTTTTGTGGGCAGTCCGTATTGGGTCTTTCGTCGACCTTCTGTTGGCTTGTAGGGTGGTGGGTGGTCGTCTTGTCGTTCAGTTTTCGGCCCTGGGGCGCGGGCTATTGGGTATCTGGTGTGCCCCGGTAGGCGGTGGTGCATTCCTGGGTGGAGGACCTCTTTCGCTTCTTCTGGGATTTGGGTCAGCGGTGAGGGTTGTAGGGTCAAGGCCGAGGCTCTCAGCGAAGTCGTGCATTTCAGCTGTGTTGTGTAAGATGTAAGTACGGTTGTTCTTCCTTACTTGCAGCTTGAATGGGTGCCCCCATGAGTAGCGGATGTGTTGCCTTTCGAGTTCTTGGGTGAAGGGCCGTAGTTCCCTTCTCTTTCTTAAGGTGCTCGGGGCTAGGTCTTGGTAGAAGGAGACTTGGTGTCCTTCTAGTTGTAGTGGTGTGTTTCGGGCTGCTTGCATGAGTGCTTCCTTGATATGGAAGTAGTGCACTCTGATAATGACGTCCCTGGGTTGGGTGGCATTGGGCAGGGGTGTTCGCAGGGCCCTGTGTGCTCTGTCCAGCAGGAGTTCCGCCGGTGAGGCTTCTGGGAGTAGGCCGCAAAAGAGCTCCCGCAGTGTTGGGCCTAGCGCATCCATGTCGACCGTTTCAGGCACCCCGCGTATCCTAATATTATTGCGGCGTGACCGATTGTTAAGGTCCTCCTGAGCCTCTTCCAGTTGGCGGACCTGGTCTTGGAGAGAGGCTATGGCGTTTTCATTTGCCGTGGTGCGTGTGGTTGTACGGTCAAGCTGTTCCTCTATGGCCGTGGTTCTGTGTGTCAGATCAATTAGGCCCTCTTTGATGGGTGTGAGGTGTTTGTCGAATTCCACCTTCATATTAGCTTTAATTTCTTGTAGTAGGTGGTGGAGGTCGTCTTTTGTTAGTGGGGTAGAGGTGGTCGCTCGGCTTGTGTCGCTGGCTGCTGAGTCTGAATCATAGCCGCCGCCATCTTCTGAGCGCATGGCGCCACCATCTTTGCGGCTCCGAAAAATCGGCGCTACCTCCGCGCCTTGCTTTGATTTTCGTCCGCCTCCCATTGTAGTTCAGGTGAGTACCGTGGGGAGCAGCTGGGGTGACCAAGTGGGGGTGGATTGAGCGGTTACGGGCGCTGTTGTTAGCCGGCTCTGTGCCTCTGTGGACGGAGCTCCCTCAGAAAGCCGCCATTCGCGCCGGAAGTCAGGCGCCGCCCCCACCCAAGAGCCTTTAAAGACATCCTCCCAGACCCACACCCACGCCTACACCATGTCCTGCAGGGAGAGAAATGTAAAAAACTGACAGACATGACGACAGTGACGAACCCGACCTTCATGCAGCACTTCAGATACACCCAGCTAGCCAACTTCGTCCATACCCTACCACAGGGCTCAGCGCTCACTAGACAACATACCACACTGGAAGTGGTCTGTATGCACCCAGACCCGCTCCCACATGGTGTATCTTTCCTATACACCATGCTACAAACGGACATCCCGACCGAGACACCCCTATTTATGAGGAAATGGGAGGACGCCCTCGGGTACATGCTGACAAATAAGGAATGGGAGTCCATATGTTACCTCACACACCACTGCTCCACGCACAGCAAAACACAAGAGACAGCCTACAAACTTCTGACACATTGGTACAGGACACCTCACTTCCTACACCAGATAGACCCAGACCAACCCGGCCTATGCTGGCGATGTCAACAAGAGGAGGGTAGTATCACACACATATGGTGGGAATGCGCAAAGATCAAACCATACTGGCAAAACATCCACAAAATGCTAGAGAAATTTACGGACAAACCACCCCCCCTGGAACTGGCAGCAATGCTCCTACACCACACTTCTACCCCTCACTCCAAATACAAAAAATCTATGACTATTCGAATACTCAATGTAGCCAAACGAGTGCCCCCCCAATTCTGGAAACAGGCCATAACACCCCCACTTAAGACCTGGTTTAGCCAAATGGAGGAACTGAGGACAATAGAGGAACTGACCCTGACAACTAACACTTCCCCGACAGCCTACATGGACATATGGACACATTGGATCCTAGAGACGGCGAAGGAAGTATTCCAAAGGGAACTAGATTTGACAATTGCCACACCACAGACAGGAAAGACTTAGGGAACACACACCTGACGACAGGCGACGACTGACTACCCTCACACCCCTCCCTACCCCAACCCTAACTTTCCCTTCCCCCCTCCAGAGGAAAGCCAAGAGATAATAAACCCAATCCAAGTAGACACACAAGCCAATAAGAGGGCACACATGAGACTTGAACATCAAACTCTCAAGGAGTCGGGTCATTCCGACCACTAAGTCGGACGAGAGGCCGACGAGCCTCTGTATAGCCCGTACACAAACTACAACTGCAGTAAATGTACTGAACTGTAATTGAGAAAGGCTCATAAAATAAGTTAAAAGGGACTTGCAAGTCCGTCAACATTGTGGGCCTGCGAGCCCGACTAAAAGTTACTGTTTTTATATATTTCAAATGCCTTCTAATCCTTTGATAACTCACCTTGGAGACCTGCGAGTCTTCGAATCTTGACTAACCAATACAAATAAAAATTATATTCACAAAAAAAAAAAGGAAAACTGAGTGTCAGTAGCACAGGAATGCCAAACATGAAAGGATATATCTAAATAATAGAAAAAAAAAGTAAATACATTTCTAAAAATACAGTTAGGAAGATGTTAAATACTTTTTTGAAGGGGACGGCTCAAGGCATTGGGGAGACTGGTATAAGGAATTATACTACCTTTAAGCAGGACTTAAATGGGACATAAAACTGTCCTGGGTACATCTTGTGTACATTTTAGGCCCAGACTTACCAGTTCCATCCAAATCAACCTGTCCCCATGGGTCTTACCTTCTGGCTTCCTCTTCTAGCCATGCGGCCACTTGTTGAAATGCATTACATGGACATCTAATTAGTCATTTCTGGTGCGGAATCATAAAATACATGTTCAGAAAGAACCATAGACCTCTATAGCCCAACACATTCCAGCCAGCGTGCAGAATTTTAAACCTCTTCACTCCAAATAATGTGTACACAAGGATCGCACACGTTTATTACTATATTAATAACTTGCAAATAAAATTAATTTATTTAATATTTTGGTCTGTAACAACAATAACCCGTAGGTCATCTGAATTGTTTCATTGTCCTATAAACAAGGATTTGTTATTTATTTATTTTTATTAATGGAACACTAAAGCATTAGGAAAACAAACTTGTATTCCTAACGCTTTAGTGTCCCTGTCCCTTGTTGTATAGGTATTCCCAAAATTCCCAAAAGCATGTGTGTCCCATAATAGTACTACATTAAAGTTTTTCACTCACCTTTTTAGTGCTTACCTCTTCTCCTCTCCGGATGTCATGGGAGAGGGGCATGATCTCCTAAGGAAGGGTCCAATTTAATGCTCCTCATACAGGGGGCTTCAATGTCATGGGATCGAGTTTTGCTAAGTCAGTGCAATGGAAGCACTTCTGCTGGCTGTCACTATAACAACTTCTGCAAGTGTGTTTAACCCTACAAGGTAAACATCTACATTTCTGCAAAAAGTCAGTGGTTTACATTGAAGGGTTAAATTGACAGGACCACTGTACAAAGGGCACTTAATTATTGCTCCTTTAAAGGAACCCTCCACTTCCCAAATACAAAATAAATTTTTAAAAATAACTGTTTAGTAGATATACTCCAAATGAAAAAGTGCATGCATTTAACTATGCATATTGTCATTGGATTTATCTAAAACAGATTGCAAAACCTGCAGTTCTCATGCCTACTGCCTTTGCAAGCCGTCCTCTTCTAACCCCGCCCAGACTTTATTTGGCTGTCCAATCACAGACTTCCCAATGCAGCTCAATGACAAGTCTTTGGTAGGTGTTCTGGGAAATTGCTGCCTCGTAAGTTCAGTGCTAATAAGCCAACCAAACCAGAAAGTAACACAACCTGTTGTCTACTTCAAAAGCCGGGGGATGTAATCAGATTAATTTATAACATTTGAAAATTATATTGAAATATGCACTTTTTGCAAAATTAAAAAATAGGGCACACTCTTCACACATAAAACTTTTCAGCAAGCTAAGGTGCTTTACGTGTCTTGAGTGTCCCTTTGAGTAATGTGCTTTTTATGCCAGTACAAAACATATGATCCAGCAAAGTATCAGTTCAAAATAGTTTGATTTTTTTTGTTGCTAGTTGCTAGTATAGATGATGCCCTTTAATTTAAAGCAGTGTTGGACAATATATTTTTCTCTGTCTAATGAGTAAGATGTCTTCCTTTCTCTGCTAATGTTTAATGTATACCGACAAGACTCAGTGTTCACTTCCTGTTAGTCCGGCCGGGTACAGGAGACAGCTGCTCCCTGTACCCGCGGACCATACAGGGCTCGGAAGAAAAATATAATTTAAATCTATACATCATCAGCCTGCATTTACTTCACGGAACCCACGGGTGATTCACCAGCTATTGACCTTTGAGGCTTCCAGCATAGTCCAATTCCATATAACTATTGAGTTGCCTTAACAGCTATGGCAGGTGGGAAGCCATGTATATTGCATGAAAGACATTTAGACCTCACAGGCCTCCCTAAAATATTACAATCTCTCTTTGGAATAGAATTGTAATTGAAATTTGTCCATGTGTTAGTAAATCAATGAGTTTGTCTTATATAGAAGTTAAACTTATTTTAAATGTAAATTGGGTAATAGTAACAACCCCTGGATATTGGGCTACGGTAACATCCCCAGGAAGTACTTGAAAACCAGAGTAATCTGAATGTACCTTTCCTGGTTAAATACTTTGTTATTATTATTATTATTAATCTCCTCCCCAACTCGCATAAACATTAAAAGCCATAACCATACCCTGCTAGATTGGATTCTCTCCACTTCTCCTGATAGAATCCAGGAGGCCGGTGTTCTCCCAAACACTTTCAGTGATCATTGTTTAGTGTACTGCGTGCGCAAAATAAAGGCTATTAAATCCACTCCCAAGGTTAAAATAACTAGGTCCTTCAAAAAATGTAATCTTGAATCATTTCTAAAGGACATCAAGAACCTCCCATGGCACAGATTAAACATTATCCCAGATCTAGACTGTGCTGTTGAATTCTTTCAGTCTGAACTCCTACAAATTTGGAATTTGCATGCCCCACTGCGTAAGGTGAGGGTAAAAGGAGCACATATGAACTGGGTCACAGCTGACCTCATCCAAATGTACCAGTTTTGGGATTCTTTGTGGTCAAAGTTTAAGCGTACTGGCTCTATGAATGATCACTGTGCATATAGACAATGGTGAAATATATGCACAAAACAAACAAAATTGACCAAGGCCCAATATTTCTATGAAAATCTGAACAATAACCTATCAAACCCTAGAAACTTTTGGAAAGTCATAAATAAACTACAAACTCCCCCAATCCACTCCCAACCCTCCACTGTCAAAGTGGATAACCAAACCCTGCAACTTCCCTTTGATGTAGCAAATGCCTTTAACAATTATTTTGTCTGATGCTCTACTGCCCTGATTGCCAAGCTAATAAATGACACGCATCCTGAAACTACAAATGTGGATCAGGCCCCACTAAATTTGCAAAGTCCCAATATAGACAAGTTCATTTTAAGACCTGTACCTGTTAGTGTCATTGAAAAACATCTTAATAATCTAAAAATGAAAAACCAGTCTGGACCTGATCAAATCCCAGCAATGCTGTTGAAGCTCAGTGCGCCGGCAATTGCTAAACCCGTCGCAACTCTAATTAACAAATCCTTGGTATCTGGATACATACCCAAACTTTGGAAGACTGCCACAGTAGTGCCTATCCATAAACGTGGTGACACTACTTTGGTTTCTAACTATCACCCAATATCATTGCTCCCGGTATTGTCAAAAATCTTAGAAAAATGTGTCCATACGCAACTATGTGAGTACTACCAACAATCAAACTATCTGACCCCTGATCAATCGGGCTTTCACCAGAATCACTCCACTACAACTGCCCTCTTAAAAGTTTGCAATGACATCCAAACTGGCATGGAACAAGGAGACCTAACTGGAGCTATTTTCCTTGATTTTGCTAAGGCCTTTGACACAGTAGACCACGACATTCTACTGCACAAACTCAAAAACTCAGGTATTGGTGATCGTTCGCTAAACTGGTTTTGATCGTATGTATCGGATCGCTCGCAATATGTGTCCATTTCTGACAGCGACTCCCTCCCCCTCCGAGTCACGTGTGGTGTTCCCCAAGGTTCCATTCTCGGCCCCCTACTATTTACATTATTTATAAAGATCTGCCTAATGTCTGCAAATCCTCAAATGTACACATGTACGCAGATGACATGGTAATCTATGCGAGCAATTCCGATCTACCGCAGCTTGAGGCTGTGCTCCAAGACCAGTTTACAGAGGTAGAAAGGTGGATCGCAAAAAACAAACTCTTCCTGAACACTGGCAAAACTGTCACAATGATCTTTGGAACAGTACCTAAATTACACAATTTACACAATTCCCACCTATCCATAAAAATAAGTTCAAATGGCACACTGACCGCAGTCCACTCTTTCAAATACTTGGGTATGATGTTAGACCCCAATCTATCTTTTGGCCTGCACATAGAAAAGCTTGCATCTAAACGTTATCCAAAACTAGGTGCCTTGTACAGAAAGAAATCCTGCCTAAGCCCTACAGTAAAGGAAAATATTGTACAGCAAATGCTGATGCCAATCATTGATTATGGGGATGTAGTATATGCATCTGCATCGCAATCCCACATTAATAAACTGAATACATTGTATAACTCGTTCTGCCAATTTGTGCTACAATGTAATTACAGGACTCACCATTGTGACATGCTAAAAGAACTAAACTGGCTGTCTCTGGAATCCAGACGCACCCTTCATCTTTCCAGCCTTGTGTTTAAGAGCTTTTCTGGGAAACTCCCACCCTACCTGAACACAATGCTTTCCTGAGCTGTTCACACTTCCTATAACCTCCGATCCAGTACCAACACTTTACTTAGTCTACCTCAATACAAAAAGAAAGCAGCCCGATCCTCCTTCTCCTACAGAGCACCGCAATTGTGGAACGACCTCCTGCACAATTTAAAATCTTCCCTAAGCCTAAAGTCCTTTAAGAGATCCCTCTCTATATACCTCAAAACAGAATGCACCTGTCATGGTTGATTATATATTTCCTACCTGTTCTATGTTAAATTTTGTATATATTGTGTATTAATATTGTTTTTGTATTTTGTTGTACCCTAATTGTAACAATGCAATGATTTGTGGACCCAGGACATACTTGAAAACTAGAGAAATCTCAATGTATCTTTCCTGGTAAAATATTTTATAAATAAATAAAAAATAAATAATGTGAGCTAAAGCACACATTTTGCTAACACCAAGTAATGTAATACAGGGTTAACTTGTCCTAATTCTTAATGTCACCTAAAAAAATAGAGGCTGCCGCAATCACCAAGTTAAATAGTGTAGTGTTCAGTAGGAGGTAATCCGTACTTGTCTAATAACCTCCACTGAATCTAAATCACCAGGGAGACACTCCAGTTGTGTCTCGGGGCTTAACCCCTAAATTAAGAATGAATAAATATAACACCCACTCACAAAGACATTGTGTGCAGGTGTTATCTTGAAAAATAAACAGTATTGAAATAAACATTTTCCAAATAAAGAAAAGGTCAGGTGCTTATAATCCAAAGCTCAATAGGCTAAGCCTCTGTCTGATAAGTGGACCTAGTTACATAGAATTATCTACCCTCACCTTCACAGGCTTTATTTATTATTGCCAATGTAAGGGGATAATATAAAAGATACTATATCACTGTGTATGTCAAAGTATCTTTAGGTTCTAAATAATTCCAAGAAAAAAAAGAAAGAGCGGAGAGGGAGAGCATAAGTAACACACTCGTGAGTTCCACTAAAGTTCTTTCCAATATGTAGAAAGACCATGAAGATTGCAGCAATCACCAAGTAGTCAAAATTACATTTGGCCGTTTAGCATCAACTGCTCGAGCAGCAATTTTGGTGGAGTGCCCATCATCAGTGTACTGGGAGCAAAGACTTCCACTACAAAAGTCAAACTATTCGAACACGGTTTGACTACATACAATTGGGGGAGCGGAGAAGGGCATCTGTGCTGTCCAGGTCCATGATCACTACAGCACGCGATGTAACTATGACAATAAGTTGTTTGCTCTGTGTTAGCCACTTACTTACTTTTAAACTAGCAATTATACTCAAAGCTTAGCAAAGGCCATTGTTTCTATTTTCATGGCTTGGAAACTTGATTCAGTTTCACAGGAATTGTTTATATGTGGGAGTGATGGCTAATTTTGGCTATGTAGGTATTTGTGAACTACAATTCCCACGATGCCCTGATAGTCTTTAGATCAGTTCTAGGGTCAACCAATGCTGCCTTATATGGTAATGGTAAGCTCGCATGGAGCAATGCATTATATATGTGAGTAACATGAACTGTTTTCATTATTTCTAAACACAAAAACTCGAGGTATGCAACTGACTTGTGGCTGAGAGCCAAGAATAGCATATTTCCCAGGGAGAGTCTCATTTCTAGGTATGGTACAGGAGTTAAGGAATGCAGGGAATTTACTAGGTTCATTCCATTTAGCAATGTTAACTATTTCTTTATATTGCCATTAGCCATTGCCAATACCTTCAATGTACACACATGGCAGCAATTTATTTTTGAAGATATGAAGGCAGTAAAACTTTGATGTGCAAATAAACTGTACAAGAACTAAATCTAGGCTTTTACAGTATGTTTTGCTAGCTTATGTGCGTCTCAGGTTTCCTTCCTGCAAAAATTATTAAAGAGGCAATGTCACTTGTGATATGAGTCGAGAGAGACTATTTTTTCTCATGTTGGACCTTATTTTTTACAGAATGGGACAATGCGTAGAGTTTATGCCTCCATAACGGGCCATTACCCATTAACCTATGGCATCTTATTCATCAATCATGAGATCATCCATAGAAGATCCTGGGGTATCGCAGGATCCACCATAGACCTCTATTTAGTACCATTGTGGCTGAGATCATCGCGACCAGAGATATCAGTGAAAGTATTGGGAGATTAGTTGACGTGCACGGCAATACGCCACACTGCACCTATCAGATTGTATCTCTGAGACCATCAGATAGAAATAGCAGAGTTTTGGAAATGTATAAAACCGTCTCTTTAAAAAAGATCTCATTGAAGAATTCACAGGTTTGCATGCTCAGATACATGCTCAAATATATCAACCCACAAGTATCCTTCTCCTGGTTTGGCAAATACAATTCGAAGCGGCTTATCTGTATATCCCATAAATCTGTTCAGCATGGGGCTTATTGTATAGGTCCAGCTTTAATTAGACAAAATTAGTTTCTTGACTATATAGCAATTGCTGGAAATACATAAAAGCAAACAGAGTTCTGGGCTGCGTAAGTAACGTGTTGACAATTGACAATTGTCAGTAACTCTGGATGTGCAATGGTTTAAGCTAAAACATGGTTCAAAAAGCTGAAGTGGCCATGATGGTTGGAGTAACCCTTAAAGTGTGCATGTAACACAAAACACAACGCTGCTTTATGGGACATTTATATTCCCAGTGCAAATTAAAATTCACTAGATTTTTAGTTTTATTAGTAAATCTATACAAGGTTTGTTCCATTTAGAGAGTACTAGTTTGAAGTGCCCTATCACTTTGTGAAGAGGCAGAGGATTGTCAGTGAAGAAAATATGCAAACAAATATTACATTTGCATATTCAAAAATCACACCTTAAAGTACTTGTAGTACTATTACAGGTGGATAGATTAACATGTTTTTTTGGAGGTTTTTTGTTTAGACTTGTTGTGGGGAGGGGAGTCACCAAGTACACCAAGTACACCAAGTACCATAGCATCATCAACTACAGTGTTCACTTGATTGAGAATTAGTTTTGCATACATTTAAGAATATATTTTCATAATGAAATAGGCTACAAACTGGAGCATAATCCTGATAGATGTAATGTATCTGATGGGGTAGGGTGAAACAATAGTGATTTTGCTCAGTGTACATTAATTAATAAATTGGCAGGAGTAACAAGCAGGTGTTATGAGCCTTGTGACAGCAGTCTGAAAAGCCTCCCAGGATCTAAGATCTGATTGATTTTTATAACATTTAAATGTACGTTTCAGCACGCTTTTGCTTTTAACCTAAGGAAGGCTAAACACAAAAGAATGTGCCATATAAAGAATAAATGCAAGATAGAAAAACACAAAAATCAATGTTTATTTTGTTTAAAAAAATATGTGTATACTACACATGGCAGGATATCCTCCATCTGAACTAAGTTAAGATGACCCACTGTTTTGATTCAGAATCTTAGCATAACAGCACAGATTAATAACACATGACACATCAAAGCCAGGCAAGGAAATTAAATCAATTCACATGAGCAGATGGCAGATATCCTGTGCCAGGTATTATGACTGAGATCAGCAGTCGTAGAATGACATGTTAAACAAGACTAGCATTCATAGTGGGCATTTGGCAATATAAACATGACCAGTCTGGCAGAAGATATTGAGAGAAGATACTTAAATATGGTCGGTGTCTCTAAAACGAAACATTTCTTCTGTGTTTTATTTGAAATTGTATAGTTGGTATCATTGGTGTTGCTGGGGAGGGGGGCTTTATGGGGTGAATTCTTGGATGGGATACTCTTTAGCACTGGATCTCTACAGCTGGTTCTGTTGGCAGGAGGTTATTTTTTTTTTGTAAATATCTTTTTATTAATCAGAGGAAACACGCAGGTTTCAAACACATTGATGAGCCAAGGTGTTGTCGAGATATGCAGATCTCTCGTCAAGTAGTAAGTAGGAGACACGCAGGTCTTGGTTTGGCATGGCAACAAAGCTTACAAGTGTATAATAAGAAAACATCCATTTCTGTTATTCATTACAAGCATCCTATACTTTGCTTCGTCTGACTGCTTGAATTATGTGCCAACCCTAGGGTCATCTAATCTAGACCTTAAGGTGTCGGAGTTGCACAGAGTAGGGTGGTGACCCGTAGGTCTGCTCTTTGATATAGGTATCTGTCAGCATTCATAATGTTTAAGTGTTCCTGAGTTACCTCCAAGTACCTGCAAGGCATTGGCCTTTATTGGCCCTGGTAACATGCCTTAGATTCTGTGTCTGTGTGACTCGGTGTTGGTACATGTTGTGCGCTCGTCATGTATGTCCCCTAGTTTCGGTGATCTGGTGTATCAGGATGCCGTCTCTCGATGGTAGGGGTACTTTACTCTATGTTTCGTTGGGTGGGGAAGGGGAATGTGTAAAGGGCAGTCCATGGGGAGGGTGGGATGCTGTCGGGGGGGGGGATGTGGTCCTGGTTGTCCTACGGTCCCTCTTTCTGCTCGTTGTGTCAGTATTTGAGCGTGTTTGCGAACTTTGCTTTGGTGGTTGTCAGTAGCCAGTGCGACCAGATTTCCAGGTATTTGTCTGAGGCGTTAGCCGCACTCATATTGAGTTCCTCTATTGCCCTGAGTTCCTCCATCTGAGAGAACCAGGTAGTTAGTGGGGGGTGACTGTTTGCTCCCAAAATTGTGGGCGCACTTGTTTAGCTACGTTTAGTATTCTTATAGTTAGTGTCTTCTTGTAGCGGCACCTGGGGTTCTTAAGTAAGTTGTGTATTCCCCTCCAGAAGGGTTGGATGGCCTTGCAGTCCCACCAAAGGTGGGGCGTGACGCAGACCTCCTTGCTGCATCTCCCGCAGAGGTTAGTGTGGTCAGGGTCTATGGTATTCAATAGTACTGGTGTACGGTAACAGTTGGTTACCAGTTTAAATGCTGTTTCTTGGGTCTTGCTGAAGACTGAGCAGTGATGTGCCAAGTAGCACATCTTCTCCTAGTCTCCATCTGTAAAGGTCTTGACTAGGGCCCTTTCCTATTTCCCCTTGAACATTGGCTTCGCTGTCTGGGTTTCCCTTTGTATCATGGAATATAGAAGTGATATCCCATGTGACTGGGCATCTGGGTCCATACACATACATTCAAAGGTGGTAGGGTCCTGTGTTCGCGCTTTGCCCCCATGGAGGGTGTTAACATAGCTCCTTAGTTGTCTGTATTTGAGGCTCTGTAGGAAGGTGAGGGTGGATCCCTCTAGCAAGTTCGTAAGTTTCCTATAGTCAGCCCGGTCAAGATTGTTGTGTAGCCTAGGTGTCTTTGTGTGACGCAGGTCCCTGAATGCGTTGGGGTCTAGTCCTGGCGGAAAGCTCCCATTGTGAGTCAGGGGAAGAAAGGGGGAAGGGCGCTAATCCATATCTCCTCACTGCTCTCCTCCACACCCACAATGTTGCTAACGTGTAGGCTGAGCATTCTCCCCCGTCTCCCCTGCCTACCTGCCACGGCAGGGTTGTCATCAGTCTCTCGGCTTCTGTCTCCTCTATGCCCTTCCAGGATTTGTGTATCCTTTTGACCATTCCATGACCCTTTGAAGGTGGCAGGCCACATATTACAGGGTAAGATCCGGCATGGCCAGCTCGCCCCTGTTTTTTGGTAGCTTAAGTGTGCTAAGCTTGACCCTTGGCCTTTTCTGGTTCCACACGTATTGCCCCATTGCCTCAGGGTGTTGAAAAAGATAAAGTGCCCTCTGACCTCGAGATAGCTATGGGGAGGGCCTGCATGAGGTACAGTAATCATGGGAGGAAGTTCATTTTAATGGCTTAGATTCTATCCCACCTGGATATGTGTGGGCATGACCAGTCAATTCCAGTCTAAACTTATCTAGTAACAGGGTAAAATTTTCTCTAAACAGGTCACTACTCCTCTTCAGCCAGGTGCCCAGGTACTGTATCCTGTGCTCCGCCCATTGGAACGCCCATCTGTTGTAGTGGGTCGGCTCGGCACCTGGACACACTGATGTTTAGGATAAATGACTTGGAGAAGTTGATTTTCAGGTCTGAAATTTCCCCGAATACTCTGAAGGCTTTCAGTATATTTGGTAGCGAGACCTCTGGGTTGGTGACGAAGAACAGGAGGTCGTCAGCGTATGCTGCCACCTTGTGATGTCGTCCCCCCTTTGTGATGCCCCTAATGTCGGCGTCCAGTCTTATGTGTGTCAAGAACGGTTCAAGTGCCAGGACAAAAGCAGGGGCAACAGGGAACACCCTTGCCTGGTGCCGTTGTCTATGGGGAATTCTGCCATCAGGGCCCCATTAACGATGACGTGGGCAGTGGGTCTGTTGTATAGCGCCTCAATCCAGCCTCTGATGTGCAGCCCCAGCCCTGTGTGCAAAGGTACAGAACAAGTACCAGTCGAAGGCCTTCTCTGCATCTGTGGATAGCAGGAGAAGGCTTCCACTCTCCCCCCTCTATCCGTGCATGAGGGGCAGTGCCCTGATTGTATTGTCCCGCGCCTCCTGTCCTGTCACAAAGCCCACTTGCTCTGGATGCGCGAGTTTAGGGATGTGTGTGTGGCTAAAATTTTTGCCATCAGTTTGACATCACAATTGATGAGCAAGATGGGTCTATAATTCCCGTAGTGTTCCCCGTCTTTGCCTCCCTTTGGTATGATTTTCATACGTGCTGTCAATGATTGTTTTGGCAGGCAGTGTCCTTTTCGTATAGCGTTAAGTGTGTCTAGCAGTGGGGAGTAGAGGCTGTCAGCAAACTATTAATAATATCTCAGTGGCAATCCGTCTGGGCCTTGACTTTTGCCCAATTTTGTCATTTTAATTGCTTGTGCCAACGCCAGACAACCACATGTAGCGGCAGCGGCCCAAAGAACTCTCACCTTCTACGAACGGCTGTGTTTGGCGGGTTCGGCACCCAAGGGATTAATTACAACATTATATGCGCATCTCTGCAAGGAAAATATGGAATGGGGCAGATTGGCGTATGCATATCAGTGGGAAGCTGACCTCGGTGAGGTACTGGAGGGCATCGAATGGCAGAAGATATGAGAAGCGAATACAAATGCCTCGATATGTGTTACGCTTCAGGAACAGATGTGGAAAAACATGTTTAGATGGTATACTATTCCCGTGAAGCTTTTCTGGATGCATAAACTGGACTCAGATGAGTGTTGGAGGGGATGCAGAGCTAAAGGCACATACCTCCACATGTGGTGGGAATGCCCGATTTTACAAGGATTCTGGAAATCGGTTGAGAACCTATTGTTCCAGATATTTGACAAACCCTTGGCATTAGACCCATGGGTATACCTCCTCAACAGAACAATAGAGGGATGGACAAGAAGAGAACAAAAATTAGTACACAAAATTACCTAAAGTGCACGAAGAGCGATAGCAGCTGCATGGCTGACACCAGAGGGACCTAGTTTCACGGGAGTAACATCAAGGATTAGAGAGAGCAAACTGATGGATGACCTGACAGCTAGAGTGAAGGGAAATATGAAAGCTTTCCAGAAAGTTTGGGAACCATGGGATAACAGTGCAGTGGGCTTGGGAAGCGACTGAGGGTGACCAAACAGGGACATAAGGGACACGTCAAAGAATGGGAGTTAGGCCCTAGGAGGCCCTGGGGTCATCTGAGGAGGGGTTGTGGTATGGCTCTTAAAAAAAAGAAGTGGTGGCCTGATCCAATCACAGTGCTTCCCCATTGAGACTGACAAGGAGGTAGATCAGGGGCAGAGCCAGCATGATTCAAACACAGCCCTGGCCAATCAGCATCTCCTCATAGAGATGAATTGAATCAATGAATCTCTATGAGGCAATTTCAGTGTCTGCATACAGAGAGAGGAGATACTGAATGTTTGGATGCATTTTAGGCAGCCATGACCCAGGAAGGATCTCTAACAGCCATCTAAAGAGTGGGCAATGAAGTTATCACTGTAATGCAAACACGGCATTTTCTCTGAAAAGACAGTGCTTACAGCAAAAATCCTGAAGGCAATGATTCTACACAACAGAACAAATTCAATAAGCTGTAGTTGTTCTGGTGACTATAGTATCCCTTTAAACTCCTAGTAATGTGTGTTTTAAACAACAATAAATGTGTCTAGAAATCAGCCTGTGTAAATACGATACATTGTTCTTGTTCTAGGTAAAATCTTAGTTGCCTAAATTGTGCACCTAAAATTTCTCAGAACCACTGAAATTAAAGTGTCCCTCTTTGTGCATTTGAAATGTTGGGAAGTATGCTCAATCCTCACAAACACACACATTATAGTCCCTATCTCCACACAGCACATGCCCTATTCCGTCACATGCACCTATAGACTACACCCCCTATTACTCCCAACCCATTACAGTCCTACACTATCACTCTTACCCAGACTACAACTACTGCCCTGTCCACATACCTAGCCCATTTCACACACACACAACACCACAAACAGCCCGATCTACTCACTACACCACAAACAACTCCCCCACTGCTCAATTGCACAAACAATTAAATTGAATGGATCTCTACACAGTGGTGTATCTTGGTGTTGTTCTGCACTGTGTTAGAGTTAGTGTGTGTGTTAGAGTTAGTGTGCATTTGTGTGTTAGAGCCAGTGTGTATGTATAAGAGTTAGTGTGTGTGTCTATAAGCTGCGTGTCTGTTAGAGCCTGTGTGAATGTAAAGCAGTGTGTGTGTGTGAGAGACTGTGTGTGTGTTACAGCCAGTGAGTGTGTATAAGCAGTGTGTGTAAGAGACTGTGTGTGTCTGTTAGAGCCAGTGAGTGTGTATAAGCAGTGCGTGTATAATGGTCAGTGTGTGTGTAATGGTCAGTGTGTGTGTGTGTGTGTGTGTCTCACACAAGGGGGTAAAGAAAAGTAGGATGAAGACCTAAAACACAAAAAAAAAAATGCCAAACAAGGGATACAATATACAAAAAGGGAAAACAAGAGAAAAAGGTGGTAAGATGCACAAAAGGGGTAAAAGAATGGGTAAGAGGGGCAAATGTGGGAAAATTAGACAGACAGGTGAAGATAAATTTTGGGGTCAGCAAAATGTGTCTTTGCCTGTGTAGACAGAAGTCCTTGCACCGGCCCTGTGCGTCTGTGTATAAAAGAACTCTGCAGCAAACTCCCAGTAAACTTTAAACTACAATAAATGCATTTAGAAATAGGTCCCTAAATAAGAAACATTGTTTTTGTTTCAAATTACATTTAAGTTTCTAAATTTTCTCAGAACCTCACCCTTGGCCACACCCCCACTAACACCCATAAACCTAAAGTGTCCCTCTTTGTCCATTCGAAATATTGAGAGGTATTCTAGACATTTATTATTATTATAAAAGGCCTTTGGCAAGACATCTGCAATCTGTCAGGGGTAAAGAACTGGTTTGGGGAATGCCCGTAAAGTTCTTGCCCTCACCTCATGGCCTTGCTACTTCGCTGGTCAAGCCTGCCAGACCTAAAAATATGTTAAAACACCCTTTCTAGCAGCACTATAAATAAATGTTTTATTTATTATGCTGGGGTGTCCCTTTAAAGTTTATTGCTTTACTTCGTTGTTGATGATATCAGAAAAAAGCACGGCCAAGGGAGTAAATCAATATATAAAAACATCTCCCTATCTCTTCTCCTGTGCTGGCAAGAGTGGAGTATGTCACAACCCCACTCCACTGAAAAATGTAATGCAAATATAAGCAAAGCAACTAACCCTCTCAGTTCTGCTGGAGTGAAAAAAGAAAAGGCTGTGCATAGGGGGCTTTACGGAGTGTTCTATTTGATTGTGTCCTCACGCCCTATACCAGTTAGAAAAAGTGAAATCAAAAGGTTATTAAATTATCAACATAAAAAAAAACCAGGAGACTGGTAGAGAAACAAATGGGTTTCACAGCAGTAATGCTAGTGAGTTGGCTGATTTGTTAGGAGTGAATTCGGTTCGGAGAACATAATCAAATGCACCATTCTGTATCCTAGCTCATTAACATTTTGTCAGTAAGGCCATTCTCTAATTCTGATATGTTGGCGGTAAATGTATCCCATTCTCAGTTCTCAAAATTTTCTTGAGACCACTCACCAGTTTTGGCACACTAGCGTCATTCTCATACTGTCTTCAGCAGACCAAACACTTGTCTCAATCTTGGGTAGCTCGCAGATTTTGATGCACCTTCATCAGTTTCTCATCAATCTATTCCATTTTTTCCCAGGTCGTGCATGTGTCATTCTGTCCTCAATCCATAAAATGATGGAAGGTGTGACCGTTGTGCTTTTAATTCATTATTAGTTGGTGTCTTGTTTGACGCTCTGCAGCTGTGCAAATCTGATGTAAATGTTACGCTGCTATAGCTTAAGGGTCAGTTTCCCTTTATAGTTTCCAGACCCTTAAGAGTAATTTTTCTCATTGGTTTTCCTTGGTTCCTGGCTCGGCTAGTGTATTGGTTTCTGATATCTGGTATCCCTGACCCGTCTCGGTTTATAATTTAACCTCCCCTTATTGGATTATTACCATTTTGGACTATACTAAAATATTTTTTCCTGATATTTCCTCTATGCTACTAAGAGTTAAGCCTGGCCAATCTGTGACCCAGTAATATGCCTTTCTATCATTTCCCACTGTGTCTTTGGTAGGTTGTTGCTGACCAATATCTTGCTTATAGATTCCTGACGGTGTGTGGATGTAATATGAACCCACCATGTCTCCCCCCTCCTCCATTTAGTTATATTCACCAGTCACGTTCCTTGTCACATACTCCAAACATACTCTGTCACACACTGTCACCCAGTCACATTTACCCCACTTACTTATTGACATATATTTACCATTCCAGTCACATACACCCACTCCCATTCCTACCCACAGCCACACTCACCCTCTCTGTCACATTTTAACCATTATTCAACTTCCTGTTCACATACACCTAACCACCTAGTCACAGCAACCTACCCGTCCATCCATCCTGAACACAATTACCTATATTTATTTATCAATGCTGGCTAATTTACCTACCCACTCACGAATCATTTACTACACACATACATACATTATATCCAGGCCCTTACACACATTATACATAGGTGCACTTACACAAATAGAATATAGAGTGGCATACACACATTTGCAGGAAATCTGAACCTAAATAAGCTGGTTTAGGATGCTGGGAATGGGTAGTGTATTCCACCAACATCTTCAGTGTTATGGTTATTCATCATTACTAGTGACCACATTGCCTAACAATTTTGAGGACCATGTTTCCTATAATGCCCTTTGTTGTGAAATGGTTAAGTAAAATAAAAAGAACACTGAAAAATACAGGACACAAGTGTTAGTGAGCCTTGGATCATCCTCTTCACCCTCTCCCTCTCTGATTATGTTTGAACCCACTGGAATTAGGACCCCATTAGTTTGCTTCCTAATTTCAGAGCTGAAATGTAACATAGTCACGGGCCAACTGAACCTCGCAATTACAAACATATTCAGTTTGTCATGATTCAAAATTCCATGAATGGAGCCAAAAAACAAGATAATTGATGGGAATAAAAGATGACTGATGGCTAGAGGACAGTCGCTAAATATTGATTGTAATCACAGATGAAGTGAGGAGTAAGCAATAGAGGGAAAAAAGAGGGGCAGTAAAATAATCAATATTGATATATTTACATATTATATATTTAATAATTATATAATATATAAATATAGACTCTTTTACTGCTCCTCCTCTTCCCCCCCTTCTGGATACTGTTTCTTAGTTGATTTGTGAACCAAATGGTGGGAAAATGCTCCCATTAGTATACTGTAAAATATATACATGCTATTATAGTATGTATATATTTAGCAGAACACTGATTGGCCCAATATTGCACCCGTTTTTGTTCTTCTGCTTCGGGTTCCCAAATTGGAATCTTGGTTCCAAAATTCTACTGAGCCAAACCACTGAAAAATATTTTGTTTTTGGAAAAAAATTGTTTGGCAGAGGCGAATATTCTCATCATACACAAATATGAGTATACACAACGGAGCCTATTATACACATCTCGATACATTGGGAATGTTTTCTTTAAAAAGTGGGCTGTGGTCCATTTAAAAACCCAGACTTACATTTTGTCCCATTCTCACCCTGGCTACTACTACATTCTGACTATCTGCCTCAAAAATAAAACAGCTGAACTACTGTTTTTTAGGGGCTGATCTGTTATGAAATTTGACATGTATTAGGAATGACCTCTTTTTTATCCCATGCCCTAAGCATATTTATCAGAAATATAAATAGGTCACAAATGGAGAGGTGCTATTGTTTTGGAGGTGTTCACATTGTAGCAACAATTATCCATAGCGATACAGTACTCCTTTGTTAACATGTACTGTTAAGCTTGTAGGGACTATTAGTAACAATACCTTAAAATGAACAACCCTGCTTTATCTATCACTGTGGTTAAATTAGTAAATTAGTTACAGAGCTCACTGGTATTGTTCTCCATATAAGTAAGCACACACACATGGCAAGACTATGTACTATTGCTGCTTAAGAAGCCTATATTTGTCTTTTTTTTTTTTTTGTCAAAGGGATTCTTTTTGGTGAATGTTTTTCTAATTAAATTTATTAGTTATTTGATTAAAGTAA